TAAACAATTCTTTGGCGCCCCCCAAAGAGGTTTTACCCAGCGCCAAAGGAAAATCCAGAGCGGCCAAAAGAAAAAAAAGACGATGAAAATTGCAAATCAAATCCTCCCTGAATGTTAAAAGTATCAATACATCAAACGACTGTTGAACAAGCAGAACATAAACTTAAATACGACGTCTCTGACTTCTAGCAGTCATCTCCCTCTCATCCGTTTACGCATGTGGCTCGCGCTGGATAGCCAGCTGATTGACTGTTCGTTTCTTTGATTGGTTCCGTCCGCTCCGCTGACACCCACAAGCGCTAAATTCAGGTTGATTTTCCGTTTGGAGTTAATTTCAAAGAGCAATGCTCTTCATGGCGGTAAATATTTATCCCAACAGTCATGTTAAAACTATACTAAACCGCGTATGACGTATAGCTGCGGCTACTTGTCCCTGCTCCTCTGCTGTCGCAGACGGGTCATCGGGGGGGCACGCCGAACGAGACACACCAACATACATGGCTGCAAACGCGCACACCACACCGGAACACCAACCACCGCACACACCTGTTGACTTGTCGTGAAACGGAACCCGGTTGATCCGCTATCCGTATGACCGAGTCGGGAACGCACGTTCAACTTTTCTCTGTTCAATTCCAACGTGTCTGCTTTTATCAACAATCAATATCTTAACGACTGTAACGTCAGCCAGCTGTAGTCTGTAACTTCTCCACACAGACTGTCAACCAGCGCTGCGTTAGAGCCAGCAAATATATTTTTATTATTTCTCAATTTCCTGATCTGATCAAATGATCCAAATTATCTGTGACTTAAATCTGTGATTATTGACATAATACCTTAGTAATTCAAATAAATGTACTTTTGCAGGATGTGACCTCGCCTCTCCCAATCTCATTACACCCCTCTCCCTCAAAATCCCTCTCCTCCCATGTTTCATTGTTCAATTAAAAAAAATCTTTACCAGATTGAATTGGGTTTCAGTAACTTAAGCATATGATAATATTATTTATAAAATGGTCAGAAATAACAGGAATGCACAGATTTCTGTCAAATAAGGTAATACTGAGCCAGGACAAACCCTGTAAAAGTATAAAATCCTCCCACTTCTCGTCTCCACTTCTTTTTAAAGCCAACTGTCACCCTACAGAGGCTCTGCCTTAAAAAGGAGAGGCATTTTTAGCTTTAATAATAAAAACAAGCGATTATTACGTCAGGCCAAATCTTGACCTTAAACAAAGAAATCTAAAAACATGTTCAAAACTTTTTCACCTATAATAATAATAATAATAATAATAATAATAATGATAATAATAATAATGATAATAATAATGCATTTTATTTAAGGGTGCCTTTCATGTCACTCATGGTCACCTTACAGACACAGCAGTAGAGTAAAAAACACGAACACTATCAACTACTTAAAAACAAAAACACAAAAACAGCAGCTGTGAGCTGTGATCTGAAGGTGGGGAGATAGTTAATGTCATGGATGGTTTGTGAGAGAGAGTTCCAGAGACGGGGGCCGTACGGCTAAATGCTCGAGATCCCATTGATGATAGGCGGAAAGGAGGTGTGGTGAGGAGCATGGAGGAGGCAGAACGGGGGGACCAAGAGGGTGTGCAGGCAGGGTCCGAAATTAACTTTTTGACTCACCGGCCAAGGTGGCAGGTAGATGAAAATTTCATATCAGTCGATATATAAATAATAACATTTAAAAGCTGATTTTTGTTCCTGAGTGAAAGATGAAGAAACCAGATGGTTAATTATGGTTTAATTATTCTTTATTGTCAGAACATGAAGAATTATAATTAAACAGGAACATTTCACCATCATAAGCTCAGAGCACGGAGGTAAACAAATCAAGCAAAAACAGGCAGTGACTAACAATAAATAATACACACACATGTAGGCACACACACACAGACTTACCTTTAAATAGAAAGACATTTTAGCTGTGGACTTCCAGCTGAATGTGAATGTTTGATAGTTGTGTGGGTTTATTTACAATGTTACAATTCACTTAGCAGACGCTTAGCGCTCAGTCTGTAGGGACTTGGGTTGGGAACCGGAGGGTCGCCGGTTCAAGTCCCGTTGTGGACCAAATATGGAAGTTGGTCTGGTAGCTGGAGAGGTGCCAGATCACTTCCTGAGCACTGCCGAGGTGCCCTTGAGCAAGGCACCAAACCCCTCCCCACCACCAGCTCAGGAGCGCCTGCTGTGGGCAGCTCCGTCACTCTGACATCTCTCCAATTAGTGCATGTCCATAGGATCCTGTTTGTGCATGTGTGTGTATATTTCAGCCTGTGTGTGTGTTGCATGAACTACAGAGTGTAAACCTTGTGGGATCAATAAAAGTAAATCTTAAATCTTATTACCGCTGTTTTGGATGATAAAGATAGTCATCTACCGTTGTCTCCAAGCGTTTCTACAACAAACTAGGCCTACATCATGTCCGGTCCTGACAGTGGAGATGACTCACGACCAACTTCCACCAGATGCGTGTCCGGTCCATCTCCGTTTTTTTATGTGTTTATAAGGTTTATATAGAGTTTTATACCACATACATCATATTATGTCGCACTGTCGCCAGTTAGTTTGTTTAATTACCGCTATTAAAGTTATAACTTGCACGCTTTATAAAATGTGTTAGTTCATGTCACCTCCCAGGCTCCGTAGACTTCTACTTTATTTATGTGTAAAATGTCATGAAAGACTGTGCACACCTATGACAAAATGTACTTGTTTCAATCATAGATGATCTGCATCCCCTGAGGCGCTGTTGGAGTATTGAATGGATGCCACCTTCCAGTGAGTAAAACTTCTATCCATTTGTATAAGAATATCTGTTTTGGTCACATCTGTATAAACAGTAGGTAATCAAATCCCAAAATAAAGAAAGAAAACTGGATTTAAAAAAAATAGCCAGTTAGTCTGTTTAAATTTTTCTTTTCACAGTGTCTGAGTTGAGGGTTGTTCTGCTGGGGAACTCATGGTCTGAGAGGAGTTCAGTGGGGAACGACATAATGAGAGACACTGTGTTCAACACTGGAAAAGAAGCAAACCAATGCGAGCAAGTCAGGAGACAAATAAAGGAGAAAGACATAGTTCTTATCAACACTCCAGATCTGCTGAATCCCACCATCTCTGAAGACAAACTGACAGAACATGTGACAGACTGTGTGAGACTCTCTGATCCTGGACCTCATGTGTTCCTGTTGGTTCTCCAGCCTGATGACTTCACTGAGGAATATAAACAGAGATTCTGTAGAATTCTTAAACGCTTCAGTGATCAGTCATTTGATCATTCACTGTTACTGATATCAACACCCAGAGAGCAGGGCTCAAGTGTTGTTAAAATACATTTGCAAAATCAACCCTTAAAAGAGATGATCAGAGAATGTAGATACAGATATTTGGAGCTGGCAAACCTTGAACTTCCAGAGCTGTTGACCCGTTTGGGTCAAATTGTGAAAGAACACAATGGAGAGCATGTCAGCTGTGAAGTGTTCATGGATGCCCCTGATGATATGCAAAGAATACAACAAAAGGAAACAAGGCCCGGATTCATGAATGCTGTTATGTCTTATGGTAAGAGATCTGTTCTAATCAAAATGTTTAAACTCAAAATCATTACTGATCTCATGAGAATATGAAGCTGATAGTCAATGATGTCATCTTTTAACAGGTCTTTTTACCAAGGATAAGATGGTGACACCCCCTCCCTCAGGGGAAAGTAAGTAAACTTTCATAAATAGACACATTTTATTATTACTGACCAGTACCATATTGGCGCCACTGTGGTTGACCCTTGTCCCCCAAAAACTCATCTCCCTTTAGAGAAAACTTATAATTATAATCACTTTTTTTTTTTATTATTATAAATATATTGTATCCAAAAATGTGAAACCGGAATCAAATAGAGACTTGACCATATTATCTGATAGCAGTACAAAGTTCAGCTCCCGCACTAAAACAACTTGGGCCCATGCCCATAATGCAAAAGGTGGTGAGCCATTTTGTACTGATTTACAATCAATCAATCTTTATTTGTATAGTGCCAATTCATAACAAATGCTGTCTTTAGACACAAAAATAGTAGATAGTAGATCTAGACGTACTCTTTATATTATTTACAAAGACCCAACATTAATCTACCATGAGCACAGTAAAGTTACAGTGGCAGGGAAAAACTGCCTTTTAACAGGAAGGAATCTGGAGCATCACCAGACTCACCAAAAGAGTGAGTTGTATAATTAAAATAATGCTATTTAAGCCATGAACAAGGTTCAAGGTTCAAGGTTGTCTTTATTATCCCTGCTAGAGGGCAATTTGTTTTGCAGTCAGCAGTAAAACACACACATACATACAGCCCGAAATGAGCAAACAACATAGAAAGGACAGTAAATAATAGATAAGAAACAGAGGCAACACAGTTAGTGGTTTAAAAAGGTGATGGCAGCAGGAACAAATGAGTTTCAGGGTGCATATTCAAAATCAGTCCTCTCGAAGGCTTTATCCAATCCAACCCAATTTGGTCTTTGTACCGTAGATACCTTGGAGAATAAAATGTATTAAAAGCTTAAGTTTTGTTAAAGGGCGTGGCCATGGCTGGGGGGTTAAAATGTATGTAAAATTACAGAAAATCACTGTAAGTTTATATATGCAAGGTCCAGCACTGTAAAGCGCAGAAGTTAAATAAGTAATAAAGTGTATTTGTATGTATTTGTGTAAACTGCTTAGCAAAAGTTATGCTGTAATAAAGTAAAAGTTATGGACACATTAAATCAGGAAGCATACATGTAAATTACTGTATACTTCCTGTTTTAATGTGACGGTTTAACAGTTTGTAAACAGGTTGAGGAATATAAATATATATAATGATTATGTAGGTATGAACAGACACACACAGACAGATATTGATTTAATGGTTCATAGTTTTTTTTCCTGCTACTGTCTGGATTAAGCTAATTAGAAGCCAACATGAAGATTATGAGTTTTCCTTTCATTAAACCATTGAAAGCTAAATATGGAAAACAGAATGTAAGCTTTAGTTTAACCATGTGGCATGACTTAATGTCTCTCTACACGTTACATTTTATTTTTCTATTACAGTCAGAATTCTGCTGCTGGGGATAAAGGACGACAAAACAACAAAACTTGGAGACTTTATCACCGGAAAGAACAACACAGCTCAACAAAAAAGCTTTTCAGCCAAACAAATGGTGCAGAGTGGAGAATGGAGAGGAAAGCCTCTAACAGTTGTGAAAACTCCAGAAGTTTTCAGAGTTTCTTTGGAGAAGCGGAGAGAAGAGATGAAGAAGGCTGTGAGTCTCTGTCCTCCTGGACCAAATGTTGTGCTGCTGTTAGTGAAACCTTCTGATTTCACTGAAGAGAACAGACAAACACTGAAGTTCATCCTGAGTTTCTTCAGTCAAGATGCTTTCAAACACTCAGTGGTCATCAGCACACATAAGGAGGATAAAACAGGTGTCTCTTTTAAAAGTCTCATTAAAGACTGTGGAGAACGACACTACAGTATGGCTGACAACAACCGTGATGTATTAATGCAAAAGATTGAGAAAACTCTTCATGAAAACAAAGGAACCTTTCTCACTGTCATTGAGGATTCAGTCGCCCCAAAGTCTGGTCTTATGAAAACAGCTTTGAGCCTGGTTCTGTGTGGAAGGAGAGGAGCAGGGAAGACTTCAGCAGCTGAGGCCATTTTAGGTCAGACAGATCTTCATTCAGTCTCCAGCTCATCAGAGTGTGTTAAACATCAGGGTGAGGTGTGTGGACATTGGGTTTCCCTGGTGGAGCTTCCTGCCCTGTATGGAAAACCTCAGGAGGAGGTGATGAAGGAATCATTCAGGTGTATCTCCCTCTGTGATCCTGAGGGCGTCCATGCCTTCATCCTGGTTCTACCTGTGGGTCCACTCACTGATGAAGACAAAGGAGAGTTGGAGACCATCAAGAACACATTTGGGAGTCGATTCAATGACATCACTGTGTTGCTGTTCACTGTTGAGTCAGATCCCTCAGATCCAGCTGTTGTTAACTTTCTAAAAGAAACCAAGTCCATCCAGGAGCTTCTTCAGAGCTGTGGAGGAAGATCTTTGGTTCTAAACATCAAGGGACAAGCAGCAGATCCCAGAGCTGCTGGACATGGTGGAAAAGATGCACAAAGATAAATCCAAATCATTCATCTTCACAACACAAACATTTGCACATGCCCAAATAGAAAAGATCGTAACTCTACAGGCTGAGCTGAAGAACCTGAAAACAAAAGACCCAATCATCTGTAAGTATTATTTATTTTAACTTGTAAACATAAATTATACTAATTCACTTATTTTTTTTATAAACAACCTATTGTTAATCATACCTTTAATTCTATATTGTTCAAAATAAATGTTCAGCATTGAAGGTAATTCTAGGCCCTCTTTTTTCACAGGTGATGATGATAAGCTGAGTGAAGAGAGTCTCAGGATTGTGCTGGTAGGGAAGACTGGCAATGGGAAGAGTTCTTCAGGAAACACCATTCTAGGAGGAAACACATTTAAAGCCAAATCATCCCAAACATCAGTCACCAAATTGTGTCAGAAAGTACAAAGTGATGTGAATGGTCGTCCTGTCACTGTGGTGACACTCCTGGTCTGTTTGACACAACTTTGTCCCATGAAGCGGTTCAAGAAGAGATGAGTAAATGCATCAGTCTTCTGGCTCCAGGACCACATGTCTTCCTGTTGGTGTTACAAATCGGCAGATTTACACCAGAGGAGAAGGAGACATTAAAACTCATCAAGGAAGGCTTTGGGAAGAATGCTGAAAAGTTCACCATCGTTCTTCTAACTAGAGGAGATTCATTAAAGCATGAGAAGAAGTCCATTGAAGAATACTTTGAAGAGGAATGTGATGATTCCTTTAAGAAACTGCTTGCTGACTGTGGAGGAAGATACCATGTGTTTGATAACCGTGATGACAAAAACAAAACTCAAGTCAGTGAGCTGATAACCAAGATTGAAGAAATGGTGAGAACTAATGGAGGCAGCTGCTACACCAATGAGATGCTGCAAGAAGCTGAAGCCGCTATAAAGAAAGAAATGGAGAGACTCTTGAAGGAGAAAGAAGAAGAGATGAAGAGAGAGAGGGAGGAGCTTCAAAAGAAACACGAGGAAGAAATGAAAGAAAAGGAAAGAAGAATAGAAGAACAGAGGATAGAAATTGAAAAGGAGCGACAACTGAGAGAAAAACAACTCCAAGAAAAGCAGGAGAGGATCAACAAGGAGTGTGAGGAGAGAAAGAAAGAACAGCAAAAGAGAGAAGAAGAAAACAGGAAAAGAGAGCAAGAGGAAGAAATTAAGAAACAGGAATGGGAACAGAAACTCTCAGCTTTGGAGAAACAGATAAAATCAGAATCAGAATCAAAGGAAACCACAGACAAAAAGCTGGAGGAGACTAGAGAAGAGATGAGAAAGCAACAAGAGACTTGGGAGAAAGAAAGAAGAGAATGGTGGACAAAACGGACACAAGAGATGAACAGAGACAACAGGAGGAACGAGCAAAACTTAAAAAGCTCCAAGATGAATATGAAAAAGAAAGAGAGATTAATGAAAAGAAAAGAAAGGAAGAGGACAAAAACAGAAGAGAACAGGAGGAGAAGGAGAGAAGAGAATTGGAGGAAAACCACAAGAGACAAATGAAGGAAATGAAGAATAAGTATGAAGTGGAGGCCAGAAAACAAGCTGAAGAACTCAATGATTTCAGACAGAAATACATGAAGGACTTCAATGCACTGGAAGAGAAACACATGGAGGAAATGTGTGAGTTGAAGCAAAGACAAGAAAGACAAATGCACGATTCAGAAGAGAGACGTGACAAAGATTACAATCTTTTACAAAACCTCTCAAAAGCAAAGAAAAACATCTGAAAGAAGAAAGAGAGGAATTGAAGAAAAAGCACGAACAAGAAATAAATGAAATGAAACAAAAATACAAAGCAAATGTATTATCCTCTGATGGTTCCATCAACTCTGACTTATGACATTAGCTGATTGAACACCGTCCGTTTTAGTTTTGTGTTTTTGCTGGACCACAAAGAAGTTTCTTCTAAATGACTTGTTGATAAACAACAAATCCCCCTGAAACATGCGCAACAGTGTCGAAGAAGGACCTGAAGAGACTTTTGATAAAATACATGTCTAAGTTCTCTCTAATGTTTCCCAAAAAACATTCTAGGACGTGATAAAATAAACACACAATACTTATAATAAAAAGCCCTAATAAAAAGGATAAATTTGCGGTGATGCAGATGAGATGAGATGAGATTCAACTTTATTGTCATTACACATATACAAGTATAGAGTAACGAAATGATGTTTGGCATCTCACCAGAAGTGCAAATAAGCAGAAATTGCAAGAGTCTGCTATGTACAGTAATTACAAAATTTACAGATGTAGACTAAAAAAAAGTTGAATTATTGGGTATATATGGCTGGATTAATGGGATGCTACAAATATAAATAAGTGCTATAAATGTAAATATAAGTATATTCTTCAGATGCAGTATGCACATGAAGAGAGGGGGGGCGCAGTTCATTTACATTAAATTCAATCATATGGCTTATTTTCCATGTACAGTCTTATGAAGTTCCAGGGTCCTTCATCTCCACAATCAAACTCAGAATATGGGGTTATTCCATAAAGGGCATGATGGTAAAGACGACCCATTAAAGGATAAACGCT